AGACATCCAGTTCTGTAACACTGTTTATAGTGAGATATTTGGTCTTGTAACACCCTTTGCAATGAGATATTTGGTCCTGGTACTCCTTTTGCAGTAAGATATCCTGTCCTGTAACACCTTTTACAGGGAGATATCCTGTCCTGTAACACCTTTTACAGGGAGATATCCTGTCCTGTAAAGCCTTTTGCAGTGAGAGATCCTGTCCTGTAACACCTTTTGCAGTGAGATATCCTGTCCTGTAAAGCCTTTCTCAGTGAGGTATCCTGTCCTGTAAAGCCTTTCTCAGTTAGGTATCCTGTCCTGTAAAGCCTTTTGCAGGGAGATATCCTGTCCTGTAACACCTTTTGCAGTAAGATATCCTGTCCTGTAAAGCCTTTTGCAGTAAGATATCCTGTCCTGTAAAGCCTTTTGCAGGGAGATATCCTGTCCTGTAAAGCCTTTTGCAGGGAGATATCCTGTCCTGTAACACCTTTTGCAGGGAGATATCCTGTCCTGTAACACCTTTTGCAGTGAGATATCCTGTCCTGTAAAGCCTTTTGCAGTGAGATATCCTGTCCTGTAAAGCCTTTTGCAGTGAGATATCCTGTCCTGTAACGCCTTTTGCAGTGAGATATCCTGTCCTGTAAAGCCTTTTGCAGTGAGATATCCTGTCCTGTAAAGCCTTTTGCAGTGAGATATCCTGTCCAGTAATGCCAGAAGGTCTTGGAACACAGGGCAGCTTTTAATGTCTTAATATCCCTAGAGGAAGAGACAGCGTGGCCATCCAGCAAATAGCCTCAATCAGAGCGTGGCTGACTTTATTCCTCCATTCCTGTTACACTCCATTATGCTTTATAAACTCAAGGACACAGACACGCTCATATCTGCTTTGTTGAAAAGTAAGTTGCCATAATTACATATTTCGGTCATAATAATTAAAAACCATTAACTCCTGCTAATGACCTCCGTTAATATTTTATGTGTGGAGCCCTCGAAGGCACGGAGTGATGATGTCATTGGAAATCCCCAGAGTCATGTCATAAGTGTCTCCTTCATGCCCGCGCAGGGAACTCCCTTCAAGGGCGACCCGAATGCTCCACATTCCCGCCCCTAAACATAACCTACTGCAAACACTGCTGAGCACCCTTACTCCAGAGCGGTCGTGCCCAGGGTCTTAATGGTACAGGGCTTGGCCCAGCAGGGTGTTCATGGGGGAGACACTGAAGCCGGCTTTGCTGATAGTGGTGCACCCCTCCCCCCTTTGCTCCCCTCACTTTCACAGTAGTTCTGCCTGGTGCATTTCCTCATCTAACAGAGCTGAAAATAGCCAGTCTACCCCTGGGACCCTGGGCTGCTGTGTGTGTGTAAGTGTGGCTCTAAAAGTAACTGCCTAAGTATGAAAACTTGTGCATGTGTGTGTATGTTTATAAAGCACGGGCCTGCCTGTCTGTGCACGCGTGTATATGTGGCACGGGCCTGCCTGTCTGTGCGAGTCAGTGAATTTGCATGTCGATGCCTGTTACTCAGAATTAATCTGAATACCTAGATTTCCTGTTTGTAGAACAGTACTGAATAAAGTCTATGTTGTACTACAGCACTTCTGAAAGTCAATTGTGTAATAATTCTGTAAGCCACGCAGTAGTATGACTGAATCGCTTCTGTGAATAACACGCGTAGCGTACTGCAACAAGTGTAAAGAAGTCAGTGCGTAATCTGTGCGTCAGAGGCCGAGTGTGACTCGTTTGTTTGTATCGCCTGGTCCCCTCTGTCCCGATGTAGCTGATGAAGATGATATTTCAAAACAGGCTGAAACACCCCCCCCCCCCATGGGATTTTTACATCACCCCCCTTTTTCTCACATCCATGCACAAGCGTGGGGGGCTGATTGCCCGCACTGCATCTAGAGGAACGCCCTGTCTTAGTCTTCAGCATTAGGTGGCTTAGCGTCATTGTGGGGTGATGATTCCCACCCCCTGCTGTGCCCCAGGGCATTCCCAATTCCTTGTCGACCCAGTACGGTTATCGTTATGGTCCCTGTACCGCCAGTAACGTAGGGGCCGTCATTAAGGTCGTCCCGTGTTTGCGCCCCCTGTGAGGCCACACAGGAAATGAAGGACACACGTCAGTCCGCAGGCCACAGCACCACTGGGCTGAGGGCATCCATTTTGGACCAGCAGCGTCCAGCTCAGTGGCTCTGTCTGGCATGTGGGGGGAGGACGGAGGGCACAGATGATGGCTGAAAGGCTGGACGACGTTGAGGCACTCAGATGTGTCAGGGGTATTCGGAAGGAGGAGTGGCCTCGCACCCTGGTCAATCCAATCGTGCATCAGGGTCAGTGAGGTGTGCAGGTGCCCACAGTCATACAGAGGTGCACGGCTCCCGAAATCCAGCCGGGCTCGAGCCCCACAGCGCTCCGTTAGCGGCTGGGTCCCCACTTATCAAACGGCACTGCCTGATTGGACTTGGGGCGGCGAGGGGTGATGGGGGGCAGCGGGGGGCAGAGGGCCTAATGCTGCGCTGAAATCAGTGGAATTATTTAAACCTCCTCCAGGCCAGCCGGCGAAGAGGAATGAGCACAGGGAAGCCAGAGAGTTAGGAGGTAGGGGGGAGTGTGGGGCTGGGGGGAGACACTGCAGGCGGGGGGGTGCGGGCTTTGGGGTTTTTTCCCGGGGGTGCTGGTGGCACTGGCAG